TTTGGCACTTATATTATGGAAAGAACATCAGAGAGGATTTAAGGGCGAAGTGAATGGTTTCCAGGCTTTTTCAACAGAAAAGATTATTGTTTAACAAGCAGCTCTAAGGAGCACTGAGAGCCTCGGCATGAAGCAGGCCTTGAACTAAAGTGGAAGTGACATTATTACCAATTCTGGTAAAAATGCAAAAATAAACAGGGTGAAGAGTAAGCAGAAAACTTTTTTCTTCTTTAAAGAAATATCCTGTGCTGATCCCTGTCTGTTAGCAACCTGGGAAACAAGCACGCTGGCTACACACTCATGCCTTCCTCATGTTGGCACATGCGTCAGGAGTTGCAGCACTGGATTTAATGGGGGTTAGTACAGCCCATGTCTAGGGCTTGGGGTATGATGATTTGTGACTTGGTAATGTACTTTCCCAGCTCTGTTTTTTCTCCTCTTTACTGGTCCCTCCTGCCCTTGTTACTTCAAAGTTTAAAATAGAAAAAGCAGAAACTAAGGGGGAGTTTCTGTAACTACTGGGAGGAATCCCTCAAGCCACCTCCCTGCCCATTGCCTCAAGCCTCATGCACTCAGCAAATTCCGGTTTATTATTCCTGATTATCCTCCCAGCAGGGGCTCTTATGGGAATTCACTGCTTCCTGATTCCCTAGGAAGAGCTTGCAGGAAATGAGGGAATTGCCACACTCTCTTGTTGGGCTTAGAGCACAGAGTTAGGGGGCAGGCAGGGCAGGGTGGCACCTAGGCAATGACTGGCTCAGAGAGGTATAAGCTTTTGTTGGGGGCAGCCTATGCCACATGATGCTAGAGGGTGCAAGTGGGAGAAGAGATGGAAATCTTCAGTGCGAGGTTCTGCACTGGGAAGGATTGGCCCGTAGAGCTCGGCTAGCAGGCTCACCCAGCTTCTTAACCAGCTTCCCAAATAATCAGCTACACCAGGAAAAAAAGCCTTTATCTGCTGGGATGACTATAGCTCTGTTGGTTGGGGGCGGTGGGGGGAGAGCAGTGACATTCTCACGCTCCGACATACCATAACTGATCTAGAAAACCTTGAAGCACAGACCAGGCTCAAGTCTCCCTTTCCTCTCCGTAGAGACAAAAGTGCTCAGATGCATGCACACATCCCAGCACACACTCAGGCACACGTATGCTCCCGTGCATGCAGATGTATACGTATGCTCCCCCATGCACATAGCCGTTCTCGTGTGTTTTCACATAGACCCTAAAACAGTGGTTCTCAACATTTTTAGACTTGAGGCACCCCTCCAAGAATGCCAGCTCTCGGCTTTCACTTGTTTATCTAATTACAGAAAAATAATTGAGCAATTTTTCTGTTGCAAAGAAGTCGTAAAGACCCCGCAGGTCAGGATGTATTTTACACTATCAATCCCTATTGGAAATCTCTGGGCTTATCTTGTGAATCACACGTACAAACCTAACAGTGCTAATATTGTTCGGCACCCTGCAGCACACATGAAGGGATCTCAGGGCACCCCAGGGTGCTGCGGCACTTTGGTTGAGAATCACTGCCCTCGGAAAATGGGTCCCTAATCTCAGCTATATAAACCAACTGGGAGAGGCAGTCTATGTTAGACAGACACAGGAAGGATAACGGTCTCTAAGGCCCACGGAGGCTATGGGAGTTAGCCAAGGTCACCCGGGGAATCGGTGGCAGAGAAGCACTTTCTACTCCAGTGTCTGCAATCCCATGGGGCTGTTTTCTCCACCTGCCAGAGATGGTAAATGAATGTCTCATCAAAGAGGAACGGGAGAGCCGTGTCTGTCTCTGGACTGGCAGCAATGACACAAACCATGGCACAGACATAAAGCTCCACCTCCATGGATCCAATGGCAGGAGAGCACAGGGCACCTGCAGGACCAGGAGGCATCTCACTGCCAGGCTGTGGATGCGCAGACACCTGGGTAAAGCAAGTTCTGTGTTTTCTAAGGCAAAGACAAAAAGAGACATGGTAGATTTTGATGGCACCACTGCAGCTGGCATGAACTCCTCGCTCCATATGCTGATACCAGAACCTTAGTGTAAACTTTACCAAGTTTAGTCAACATCCTCTGGGGCCCTTCTGTGTGATCTTCCACTAGGACTTTTTCTAAATATCTTCTTTTTTTTTTTACTGACAAAGGAGTAAATAGGGCGAGTGTGACCTCCTGGGGCTAGATCCTACTCTACCTGTTAGGTGCATAAGTGCACTTGGGTGCCCCAGTGCAGTTCTGTTCCATCCTGCTCAAGTCTCTGAAAAACTGTTCATACAAAAAACTCTTCAAATCCTCCTCTTTGCTACTGGTTTGTGACTCAGTCTGATGAGGAAGATACCAGGGTGTTGCAAGAAGAAGCATTAATGGATTTTCAAGACTTCAACGGAGGGGAACAGAAATGCACGTAGGCACCTAATTCCACTCATGCATCTAATGGAATAAGATCTGGCTTCTTGTGCTGCTAGTATAAAATCTCATAGACACCTCGGCACAGTGGCAGTGGGTGCCACCATGAGAACCTAGAAATGGTGGGTGGCTAGACAGGCAGAAAGACCAATCAATCCATAAGTAGGTGGGCTGGATGCAGAAGTTAAAGGCTATGAAACCCACGAACACCTACAACAGTTTAGATCAGTTTAGATTAACTTTTTAGACTGAGGTGCTGAGTTGTCTGTATGCTCCGAGGCATTTCTGCTGGCTACTCGGGTTCCCTGTCTTTTGAGTGCCTTACTGTCCCTTGCCAGGTGAGCACAATGGGAGCAGGAAGGCTGGAGAGAGCCCTATTGCTTGTGATGCCATGGGGGAGTGTGGGAAGATGATTTTGTTCCAGCACTGTGGGATGAGGCTTCAAGGGCAAAACAGTCTCAGGGGACACAGCCTCTGGGACTCAGTTCTGCTCATCTCACTGCCATGACTGCACTGTGCAGGCTTTTGTGCAGCATGTCACCAGCTTTCTGTAAGCAGCTCCCAGGGCATTTTCTACCCAAGCCCCAGAGAAATTTCTTGTGGCTCCTTCACACCCCTGAGTGTTTAGGCCCTGCTGATCAAGCAGGCAATGGGCCATGGGCACTCAGGAGGGCCCTAGAGGATGCTCAAAGGGATGGGCCCTCACTGAGGAGTGCTAGCTCACACTACACACACTACACCGCATTGCCAAGCAACACAGAAGGAGCCCAGGTCCTTTCCTTTGCCCAGGCAGACATGATGTGAGTGCTGCCTGGCTGTGTCAGAGGCCATGAGCTGCAAGCCTGCTCCAGCGAGGGCTCTGGCTGCATCAGCCCGGCGTGGCACATCCAGAGGCATTGCATGACAGCAGGAGCTGCCTGCCCTGGGGAGAGAGAGGGGTGACACCTGGAAGAAGACAGCCCAGTTTGGGGAAGGAGAGTTTGATCGGGGAGGGACGTGAGCCACAGAGCTCAGGCTGCTTGGCCCCATCAGGAGCTGACTCTATCTGCCTTTTCGGCCTCTCACCCCTGAGCTTGTACCAAGCCACAGTGCTGCCTACCTGCCTTCCCCTCCTCTTGTGCAAGGCCCCATTGGGGTCAGCTGAGCTGGCCCGGGGGGAGGGCACTGTGCATGACACAGTGAAGCACTCGCTTCAGTTTCTGACTCAGCCGAAGCAGCCAGAGACAAGCATGTGCAGTCCTGACTGCGCGAAATGCTGCTTATCCTGGGATGTGCTAACCCAGGAGCACGCAGCCTGCCGTTAGCCACGTTACAACTGTTACACAGCTCTGAGCTATGTGCTGCAGACATAGTGGCCCCTGTGAGCCACCAACTAAAGCGCTCTCCCACTCTGCAGACATTTTCTGCATCCTCTCCGGGAACTGCCTGGGGGCCCATGACAATAGCATCTTGCCTACTTCAAAGCCTAGTACCTCACCCACTTCAAAGCCTCTGCTCTTTCGCGGTATCTGTTGGCACAAGCAACCCCTCCTGTTGTTTCCAGCTGTTGTGACTGACATCAGCACACTTATGAAAGCTTCAGTCTCTAACAACTGGCAGCTCTTTATAAACAGGCTTAGCTGGAGTGGTGGCCGGGGCAGTATAAATGCACTGGGGAAGGGAGCAGCAAAAATGACGGAGCTGGTGGGGCAGAGGGAGGAGGAAAGGCTACAGGGGGTGTAGGACAGTGAATGGGATCATACGCACAGCCTGCCAGCCTCTCAAAGGGGAGAGTATGGAGGAAAGACAGGGGTTAGTTTGAATTCAGGGCTGTGAGCTGACACTAAGCAAAGGGGCAGTTAGGCTGGATGGAAGTAAGACGCTTCCTGAAGCTGTCATTGCTGGATCCGGAGGGGTGGAAGGTGCAGCCAGCTGGTGCTTTCCTACTGAAGATGGCCTAAGCACAAGGTCTTCACAACCCTTGTCCCTCTGAGTCCATGGGAAAAGGGCCAGAGGCAAACGCAGCAGAACCGTGCCGAACTTTGAAATTGGGTCTAGGTACAAACAGCGCTCAGCTCTGTCTACAGCTCTCCTATCGGCTGAAGGGCATTGATCACTCGAGCTCATGCGAGCTAGTCTGAACATTGCCTGCATGAACACATGTTCACGCCCATGCACACACACGCTTAGGATTTGGGAGCAGATGGGCTGGTCACAAGCCAAAAAACCATGACCCCAAACCCGAGCATTTTAAGTGATTTCATCCCAGCCTCTACCAGCTCCTCCCTGCCCATTTCTAGAAACTGAGCCCGAGGAAGCTGAATTTGTATTTAATTTTTAAATCCACTTATCAACTCTTCCATAAAAGGGAAAAGTGGAAGGGATTTGCAGCTGGTGGGAATGGGATTCCAGGCCAGGGGTGTGTGCACTTGGACATTGGGTCCCAGGCTCTGACCTCCAGCAGACTTTGTTTCCAGGTATTTTGTCTTCACATGCATCTGCTTCCAGCTTCTTGTCCGGGGAAGTTAACAAGCAGGGGCTGAGACTCGGGCTCGAAGTTTCACTTTGCATTCCGCCCTCTGCCTAAAGCCCTGTCGCCCAAGGGTGCATTTTTCACCTACCTCTGGTGGTGCCTGTTCCCACGCAGATCCCCAGAGATGCAGGAAAGAAGGGCTGAGCGGAGCTCCTGCTTGACTCGCTGCTGCCCGGAGAACCTCTCTCCCAGCTGGTGGAAGCACATCTGTGTGTGTTGGGGTGGGGGGGCGTGGAGGAGATGACTGTGCAGAGGGGAGGAGAGACAGATGGAGAGAGGCTGC